AATTTTCTTCCGGGAGGGGCCAGGGAAGAGAAGTGCCCAGAACCCAGGAAGAGTCAGAGGTACCCCTAGCTCCTCCCCGCCCCAAAAGGAGTCAGGGCACCCCCGGGAGCTTGGGCAGGCTGCAGACTACAGCTCATGCTGCCCAACGGGGATGGGATGACTCAGACTGAGGGGGCCAGCGGAAGGCCCCCCTCTAACTGGTCACTCCCACAGTGACCCCCCAGCTTGCTCAGGGCCCTGTGTTAAGGTTGGGGAGACTCAGAGGGAGCAGCAAGAAAGCCTGTCTTTGGGGAGATCCCAACCTAAGGCAGGGCTCAGGCCCTGTTAGACTCAGATTGGGGCTGCACCCTGCGTGTGACCACACTCCCGGCCCACTGGGCTGCTAGCCTTGCAGGGAGCACTTCCCCCGCCCCCATGCTGGGTGTTTGCAGCTCCATCCGCCTAGAACCCCTCTCCTCCAGTTACTCGCATGCATGGTTCCCTCCTGTCATTCAGGTGGCAGCTCAAATGTCCCCTCCTCAGAGCAGCCTTCCCTGACCCACCTGGTGAAAGTAACCTCTCAACTCTGTTACTCTCCATCCCCACCCTGCTTGATGTCCTTCATTTCATGGACATCTATTCAAAGTGTGTGAGTCAATGGTTTTTGTATGTTTAGAGCTGTGGTGAGTTTAGGGCACTGCCCTCACCCAGAGACAAACCCCATACCCACTGGTGGTCACTCGCCATCCCTTCTCCATATGCTGGGAGCCCACTACTCTACTCTGTGTCTGTAGATTTTCCCCTTCTGGACTTCCATAGAAATGGAGCCATATAGCATGAGGTCTTCTGCGGCTGGCTCCTTCCCCTTTGCATGATGTTTTCAAGGCCCCCCATGCTGTAGTGTGCATAAGAACCTCACTGCTTTTTCTGGCTGAATACTATTGCACTGCATAGATGTACTACGTCTTGTCTGTCCATCTAACCATTGATGAACATCTGGTCGGCTTCCACTTTTTGGCTATTATGAATAATGCTGCTATAAACATTCCCGTACAAGGTTTTGTGTTGACATGTTTTCGGTTCTTTGAGGCATATACCTAGGAGTGGCTTTGCTGGGTCATATGGTAACTCCCAGGCTGAGGTGAGTTTTTAAAGCAAGAATCCTGTCTGGGGCCAGACCCGCAGTAGGCTTTCAGCCCAGGTTTGCTGCACACTGAAACACAGACAAACTGCTTCAGGGAGAGGCTGAGTCTTTCTAGATGGGAGACCAACCAGGGCTCAGCTCAGAGGACGAAACTGGCTTTTGTATTGTGTTCCCGGTAATTCAGGGGGCTGGCATCTTGGGGAAGCAGGTTTGACAGCGGCCTGGGAAGCCTCGCATGGAAGGAAGACTGGGTTGCATGCAATGGGCAGGAGAGAATCAGAGCCGGGTCTTGGGCAGGGCAGGACTTGCAGGAATGAGGAAAATTAGAGGTAGAGAAGAAGACAGTGAGTAGGGTAGAGGGGAAGAGCTCAAGCCTTCAATTAAGAGGGTGCATGCAGGGGAGAGGCCAAGGCGAGGCTGGGAGAAGGCTGAGGAAGGTCTGAAAGCCATTTATCTACCCCGATGTCCTTGAGATAAAGGGGTCTCCCAAACTGCCCAAGGTGGTTAGACAGGTCCCCAAGAAACTGGGGGGGAAAAAAACACCTAACCTTTTATCTAAATACCCGTTTCTCTTTCCTATCTGGCAAAGCATATACCTATACACCCTGCCAACCAGGTGACTTTGTGTTCTTCTCTTCTCTGAATGGCTCCCTGCTCCTGATAAGCAAGATTTTTTTTTTTTAAGATTTTTACTTATTTATTTGACAGAGAGAGAGAGAGAGAGTACAAGCAAGGGGAGCAGCAGGGAGAGGGAAAGGGAGAAGCAGACTCCCCACTGAGCAAGGAGCCCGATATGGGGCTCGATCCCAGGACCCCGGGATCATGACCTGAGCCGAAGGCAGATGCTTAGCCGATTGAGCCACTCAGGCGCCCCAAGCAAGATATTTCTAAGGGAATCTTAGTCCAGATTCTTCTGACCCTAACTGCACTCATCTCCCTCTTGGCCTGCACATGGTGGCTTCCTTCAAGATCTCTGTCTGTGCTGGAAGCTAGGGGTGGGGGGTGGGGGTGGTAGGGGGGACTGATCCTACCCTGAGCAGAGAGCTCCTGTCCTGTTCTGTCCCACTCTAACATCCAAGGCTGTCCACACACAGACCCTTCAATGCATGTCCCTATGGAGGTGTCCAGAAACCCTCTTCAGCCCTGGTCCTCAGCCTGGGCCAAGCAGTAGACAGGACGTGATCTGGGCTGCCCATGCCTCTCCCTCGAGTCTGTCCACAGCAGCAGGCTCTTGACATGTGTTAAAGCAACGCCGCCCCCCGCCCCCAAGTACCAGCCTGGTGCACTAGCACTAGTGGGTAATCACTTAAGCTGAAAAGCAGGTGGGGGTGGGGGTGGGGGTATTAGCATTTGAACTTGTAGCGAGGCCCCAAGGAGTCAAGCTTTAGTGGCCGGTTTCGGGGCTACAGGGGGTTCTGTTTGTTTTGAGAAATGGAGCTGTCCGGTCCTAGCTGGGTTGTGACTCCTGTTGACACACAAGCCACCCCTGTTGACACATCCTCCATCCCCCCTGAAGTCCACCTTGCTCTTAGCCAAAGGAAAGGGTTCTTTCTGACATTTTGTTTTGAGGGCAGGAGGACTGAAGACCCGAATTTAAATGTGAACGTGAACTGATAGGACTTATGCCCTCCATCGCACCCTACCCCCACCCTCAGATCCCAGTAGGAAGTTCCAGAGGCCCTTGGTTTCCTTCCCAGAGTGTCAGCTCAGGAATCCATAGCCTATATGCTGTGCCTGGTAAGGACAGGGTGTAACTTGCACCCTACACAGTTCAAGCTGACTACTCATAAAGCAAGAGCCATTTCCCACATGTCTGGTTCTAGAGACAAATGCCTGGGTTCAAATCCTGACTTAATAGCTGTGTGGTGTGACCTGGGGCAAGTGTCTTAACCTCTCTATGCCTCAGCTTCCTTATGCACAAAATAGAGATAAAATAGTACTAATCCGTAGGGTTGCGGTGAAGACAAATGAGTCAATACAAGGGAGGTACTAAGAACAGTGCCTGGCATTGAGCAAGAGCTCAGTGAAGTTAGTTATTACTGTTACCAATACCATTTTTCTTTCCTGCGAGCCCGTTTCCTGCCCCACGACCCTTTCCACTGCCTGCTCAGAGCTCCTGGTTAGGTAAGGAGCTGTGAGGGAGGTGCAGAGCAAGTGAGGAAGACAGGGCCCAGTTGGGTGTGGATCTCTGTTGTTTTCACAAAACCTGGCACGCCAACCTGCCATTTAGAATTATCCTCAGCCCCCTTCCTGTTCTTTGCACTACACACGTTCCTAAAAAATTCCAGGTAAGGGAGCTTTTGTAAGTCAAAATACTTTTTAAAAAGAAAGAAAGAAAACAGAAAAAACACCCTGCTAGATTTCTAATTAAACCTTGAGGCAGAATCAGGAAGGATCTTGAGCTTTTTCTGAAGATTTTCGGAATCCCCCATGCATCCATCCTATATAAAACCCACAGAAAAACCAGTGTACACAAGACTTGCTTCTTAAGAGGAAGATTCTTCCATTTACAAGAGAATTTGATAATGGGGCTAATCACTCCCTAATTAGTAATGTTTTGTCAGCCAGTTGGCTTAAAGTGGGGTCTATCTATATGACACCTGTGTTTTCTCCATCAGCTCCAGAAGCAAGGTGGATAGGAAAACCCACCCTCATGGATACGTGGAAGAGTGAGCCAAACGGGGAGAGCAATTGGCCCAGAATGCACCCCCCCACCACACCCAGATGTTTCTCTGGGATAGCCTAACTATCGTTTTGTTCCGCAGCTGTCTGCTTGCTTGAGTCCATGCTGTCCAGAAAACCACCCAGCCAGGAGCTGGAGCTAGGGAAATCTCCAGCAGCCTCCAGCTTGCAAGTCATCTATCCCCTGCTTTGGGTCTGTTTTCCCAGCTGCACTAGGACAGCGAATCCTGCTGTCTTTCCAGAGGGCTCTGCGGGGGCGGCCCTGTCCAATTTAAGCCCAGAGATTGAGGCTCTGCAATGGTATACAAAGGGGCATCTCTGGGGCCATGGCAGGCAGAGGCCAGGAGTGGGAGAAGTGGAGAGGGCCCCTGGCACCAGAGATGAGGGTCACCTTACCAAGGTGTGCATGAGATACCCCACGCCTCCCCCACACGGCCTAATGGTCAGGTCCTGAGTGTCTCAGAGGCAGAAGGGCTTGGCCTCCAGGAGCCAATGCAGGAACCCTGACTCTCTCTGAAGCAGGACCGCACAGGACCCAGCAGCCCCGTGGCCACCCCGGGAGGGGGCGGGGGAAGGAATAGCGTGTGTCAGCTGAACTGGAGCTGACGGTCTGAGTGGAGCCCGCCCCAGGGCGCTCTGTCAAGCCGCAGCCAGCTCTGGCACCTAGCACGGCCCCTGAGGCGACACTCCCACTCTCCTTCTACCTCACTTCCAATTCCGTCCCTGGTAGCTGGGGCTACTGACCGACCTGGGGCCGCGGAGCAGGAGGGAGACTCTCCCACCTCCGCCAACTCCATCACCCCTGGCCCCGGGGCGCGCGGGCGGGGCAGCGGGTGAGAGCCGGGTTTAGCCCCTCACCCGGGTGAGCGAAGGCAAATAAATAATCCCGAAGTCACCTTCAGTCTCTGGAGAGACTTTTCCGGGGAGAGTTGGGGTGGGGGAGGGAGGCAGCCCTTCAGACAAGGCGGGGCGCGGCTGGCGGCGCAGGGAGGGGTGGTCGCCGCCTGCCCGGAGGCTGGGGCGCCGGGCAGCCTCAGTCCCGCCGGGGCAGGGACGCGGCGGCGGGAAGGGGAGGGAAGGGAAGGAAGGGAAAAGAAGGGAAAGGAACGGAAGGGAAGGGTCGGCGCGGCCGTGCCGAGGAGCGGCGGGGGTGGGGGCTGGGGGGCTGCGGGGCTCCAGCGGGCCGGGCACTCACGTCCTCTTGAAGACGCCCCCGAGGGCGCTGCCCAGCAGGAGGCAGAGCTGCTGCGAGAAGAAGACCCAGGAGATCTGGGGCAGCGAGCTGTGCGTCTGGCAGCGCAGGTCCAGCAGCGTGGGCCCCAGGAAGGCGATGCACAGGCCGAAGCTGAAGAAGACGCTCCAGTAGGTGAGCGTGGGCTGCAGGTTGCGGCGGAGCAGCCCGGACACGCGGCCGTCGCAGCCCATGGCCCCGGCTGGCGGGCTGGCGGCGGCTGGCTCCGCGCGCCGGTGCCCGAGTGCCGCGCCGCCCGCGGGAGGGCCAGCCGGGCCCGGGGAGGCCGGCGGCCGGGAGGGAGGGGCGGGGAGGGGCGGCCCGGCGAGGGGCCCCGCCCTCGGGCCCGGGGAGCGGCTGGGGCGCGTCGGCGGCCGGCGGGCACCGCGTCGGGGCCCGCGCCCTCCTGGTGCGGGCAGGGCGCCGGCCTCCCCCTGCTTCCCGAACCCACGCTCACCCTCCCCGGCTGCGGGAGACCGACCGCCTGCCGCTCTCGGCTCCCACCCCCTCTCCAGCTGCCCGTCCCACCGGCGTCCTAGCACGGCCCCCCGGGGGCGGCGGGGCCTGAGCCCCCATTGCAGAGCTGGGCGAACTGAGCCCGAGACGCCCTGGATGCTCACACAGGCTGGAGGGCGGGATCTTCCAGCGCTTCGCGTAGGCTCGGGGAGCTCCGGTTTCCCCCCAGATCCAGCCTGGCCTGGGCTTTAGGTGGAGGAATCCCCGAGAACAGCCCCCTGCACTTAGGGGCTTCACAGATGGACTTCGAGGGTCTGACAGCGCCCCCTTCTTCCCCCGGAATAGAAGACAAAATCACCTACATATGTTTTTTTTTTTTTCCTTGGGAGAGTATTCATGGCTTTCGTTAGAACCTCAAGAGGGTAAGCACTTTAGACAGAAAACCTTAGAAACATCCCATCTTTACCCTAAGCTCCGCCTGAGAGCTGGTCTTCACCTGCCGCCTCTCTGAGCGCTGGACAGGTGTAGGAAGGAGGAAGATGCAGACTCCCATCTCTCTCCTCCTTCCTGGTGGGGAGGAGGGAGGAGGCGGCGGCGGGAAGGAAAGGGCAGTGATCTGGAGGAATCCCAGAAGGAATTCCGAAATAGGTCTCTAAGGGGGTAAAAAAGAGTTCTGAGGAAAATTCCTTTTTTTTTTTTTCCTGGACAAAACCGGGTGGGGTTGCGGGGTGAGAGGTTTAGTCTCCAGACTGGTAGTTCTTGGAGGAGCCTGTGGCTCGCACAGCCTGTCCCTCCGCCCGGGTGACTGTGGACCTGGTGGGTCCTGTGGGGCCCAGCTTCTGAGGGAGCCAGGGCTCCTGCATTGGTCCCTGGAGGCTGAGCAGTAAGTTCCAGAGGGTCACCTCTGCTCAGGTGTTCTAGCAGTGGCAGGAGCCATAACATCATGGCCAGTGGCCCTCTGGGGGGGACCAGAGCTGAAGGGGCTGAGGAGGTAGGAGGGTGGGTGCTCTCATGACAACTCGGCAGATGACAGGTAACCAACTTCTCTTGCAGGTACTGGATGCATCTGCCCCATCCCCTCTAGATTCTGGGCACCTGGGAGCAGAGCCGCAAGGTCCCTCTGGCTTAGTGGGTTGGGAGGTAATAACAATTACTTATTCAGTGGTGGTAATGGTGAGTCTACAGAGTACTTGTGATTCAGTAACAAGTTATCTTCTGGAAAACAAAAACAAAAATAATTCATAACGACAAGCGTTTGATTGGATCCTCTCTGCCAATCTTACAGACTTCTACAACCATAGAAGCTCAAAGTTGGAAGGAACAATCTCCAACTCGAGTCCCCTATTCCTGCCCCATCATTGCTGATAAATGCTTGTCAGTCCTGTTCTTTTTTTTTTTTTAAGATTTTATTTATTTGACAGAGACACAGGGAGAGAGGGAACACAAGCAGGGGGAGTGGGAGAGGGAGAAGCAGGCTTCCCACAGAGCAGGGAGCCCGATGCGGGGCTCGATCCCAGGACCCTGGGATCATGACCTGAGCCGAAGGCAGACGCTTAACGACTGAGCCACCCAGGCGCCCCTGTCAGTCCTGTTCCTGACTGACACCTCTTACTGTTGGGGACCTTACCTATTATTTCCTGTGGGTTTGATTCCCATGTGAGTCAGCTCCGGTTGTAAGGAAGGGTTTTGAGCTCAGCTGGAATGCCCCTCCCTGTGGCTCCCTACAGCCACCCACAGGACAAGGCTGATTGCTCTGGGCATGTTAGTCCTTCACGCACTTGACCTTGCCCCAGCATTTGGCTTCTTCAGCCCAAACGCCTGAAATTCTTTCATGATTTCCTTAGATGGTACTCCCTAGATATATCACCCTACTGGTTCAGCTCCTCCAGCCACATTGGCAGTGACCCTGGTACAGTGAGGCATCCCACAGTGTCTGGGGTGCTAGAAGCATTCTATAGCTTGATCTGGGTGGTGGTAACACAGCTATAAACATATGTAAAAATTCATTTACGTACAAACATGTACACTTAGGATTTGTGTCTTATAACATAAGCAAGTTATGGTTTGATAAATGAGTGGAAAGTAGAAATAAGTAAACAAAAACAAAGTGAGACCCTCTACTGTGAACACAATACCCAGCCTCCTTAGAGTCAAAGCCTTCCTTCCTTCCTTTCTTCCTTGCTTTCTGGCGTGCTGGGTCAAGCAGGCAGGGAAACAAGTGCAGCAATGAGGTTCTTTCTGTCATGGGGATGCTTTGAGAGCCTATAGGGGGGAGCATCTCATTTTGCCTGGGAAGGCTTCTTTACTGGACTGGGTGTAGAAGGATGAGTATGGGAAAAGGTTTCGTTTATTCTCTCTTATTCTTCTTTGTCTCCTCTATTTTCCAGTATCATCACCTTCAGGAAACTTTGCTGGAAAAATCCTATCTAACCCCCAAATACCAGCAAACCCCTGATCCACTCCTTGCCCCCTACAATCCTCAGTGTCAGCTGTTATATCCAGGGACGGCCGGCTTCCTCTTCCTGCCACCCTGCCTCCCCCGCAGTCAGTTAAATGGTGAGTTCTTAAGGGCCGGAACTATATTTACCGTATTATATTATAGTTACCAACTCTCCCCACACCCATCCAGGTGCCTCACAGAATACTCGCAGATAGTGAGTCCTGGATAAATAGCTGGGCACTGAATTATTTGCACATTGCCTTTATAATTATTTTTGGTTTTTCATGTACATATCTTATCTCCCAATGATAACAAGTTCCCCAAGGAAATAGAGGCTGTCCTCTATTTCTTCTGTGTCGAGTATCCAAATGTCTAGCCCTCGCTGGGCACCCTGTGGTCATTCTTCAGTTTTCATGACAAAACCTTGGATGGTCCTTTAGCCACTCTCAGATTTCCTTCTGTGTACATTGGAAGGAAATTATCCCTGTCCCTCACTAGCTCTGGAAAGCAGTGGGGAGACCTGAAAATAAGGAAAGACGGACTAGATTGGCAGGGAAGATCTATGGGAGCGAAGAAGGGTCCTCAGGCTCTTGCTGCCTGAAATCTGTTTATTTGTCTCAAGGGTCGCCTCCTCTGGGAAGCTTTCCCTGACCTTGCTAGGGTCCCTCCTTGAGACCCCATCCAAAAGCATTGCTAATCATCTGTGTACTGCCTCTCCTCCAAGGAAGGGCCATGGGCTTGGTTCTTCACTGAGTGCCAGGAGTGGCTCCTTGCTGAGGGCTGTTTGCACCCTACTGACTCCTGCTTATACCTGGAAGTGATGAGAAATCCATAAATGGCCCGTCTTGGACCATCGATGGGTGGCTTACATCCTGGAAACACTTGAGAAAGCAAACAAGATCTAACAGTGAGTGAAGTAAGAGCTGAGTAACCTTGCCACCACCCTTCTACATATGCATCCGAGCTGCCCAAACTCCTTAATGCACAGAACCACGGGTACACTTTCTCCTCGTTCCTGTTTCTGTTAGAATTGAAAATCTTAAATATTAAAACATGGACACAGGGGCACCTGGGTGGCTCAGTTGGTTAAGCGACTGCCTTCGGCTCAGGTCATGATCCTGGAGTCCCGGGATCGAGTCCCACATCGGGCTTCCTGCTCAGCAGGGAGTCTGCTTCTCCCTCTGACCCTCTTCCCTCTCGTGCTTTCTATCTCTCATTCTCTCTCTCTCTCTGAAATAAAAAAAAAAAAAAATCTTTAAAACACGGACACAAAAAAGTTTGGATGATCACAGCCTAGAGGGGTTCACCTGGACTTGGGCCTGATTTCACGTTTGGCAGAATCCTCTCAGTGACCGTGGGCCTGTTTGGGTCCCCAGGTCCCTCTGGTCTCTGCTTCTCAGACTTTGGAGAAGCCAGGCAGGAACAGTAGAAGAAGTCTCCAGTTCAAGGTCATGAAGCACATCTGCAGTTCCTCTGGCCATTCTGGGGAATGAGGCCGTCCCTCCCCTACCTCTGGGTTTTATCTTCAGAGCCCCTTCATCATCGCCTTCCTGGCCAGAGTGTGCAGAGTGGATTGGCAGGCTCGGTCTGAGGTCAGCATGGGGTGAATGGCAGACAGCTTGGTGCCTAGGACTTTACCCACATGACCTGGCCACCCTACCCCACATGAATGCCAACAGCGGAGATGGGTACAAAATTCTCCTTCGCCAACTATCTGGATGAACCGAGTTATCAGCCTGCGTGGGTGGGTGGGGGGTGGTTACTGCAGGTGCCAAGGGGGACCGGAGAGACAGGAGCAGGTGAGATGGCCCAGAAGCATCTTAAGAGTGAGGCCAGTGGCCACATGCATCCTGGAGAGAAGACTGCGTAATACCTGGCACTTAGCTGGTGCAGAATATGTGTTAGCGTTTAACAGTGCTAGCTGAAGCTAGTCTAACTGTGAGGGTTGGAAGGACCCTCTGAAATTATCCTTTCCCTCAGAAACTGAATCCCATTTACAGCACTGCCCAGGGAGCCGCTCGGCCTCACCTTCAGCATGCCTGGGTTTGGAGTCAAGCTGTGAGATGTGTGCAAAACTGAGCCTTGGTTTCCTCCTCTCTAAAATGGGGAGAATAGGGGCACCTGACTGGCCCAGTCGCTAGAGTATGAGACTCCTGATCTCGGGGTCGTGAATTCAAGCCCCACGTGGGGAATAGAGCTTACTTAAAATAAAAATAAAATGGGGAGAATAATACCTCCCTTACTGTGAGAAAACATAGACAGGGTGTAATACAGGAGCTGGTATACCAGGTTCTCAATAAATTCTCCTCCTCCTC